TTTTTCATGAATCAAGGGAGTAATCTTTATGCCTTCAGTTATCAGTAGCTTGGACAGAATGAGAGAAACAACAAAAGTCTTCATTCCAACCATCTCAGAATACAGGGTGTCCCAGGAGGAATGGACTAAACTTCGGGAGGGTGTTCCTTAAGTTAAAGTATGCCGATATAACGCAAAACGCCTATGTCCAAAGTTGAACGGTTACGGAGATAATGGCCAGAGAAGTGTCAAACTTTGACCGGCATTGCACACTTGTTGATTACAAAATACATATTAAAACTGGCAGCAATATGTAGATTCTGTAATGTTAATAATGTACGTAACATCAAACTAACTTGTGAGTGACATGAAGCCATAAAATTGAAGTACAAAATACTCGCTTGCCATGTCATAATTGTCCTTAGGGTTTCCAAGCACTATGCATGACACATAAATGGCAAGCGCTGATGTAACATGCTGACTGCGCGTTCTGGTATAAGCCAACTACATAAGCACGGCTAGGGTGAATCATCGCACTCAAGGACAAACATAGATAAGGCCTCTCAGCTGACAGGTACAGTGCATGGACCCGCCATAAGACCACACTTTTCTTGGGCCATTATCTCCGTAACCGTTCAACTTTGGACATAGGCGTTTTGGGTTATATCAGCATATTTTAACATAAGGAACACCCTCCCGAAGTTTGGTCCATTCCTCCTGGGTCACCCTGTATACAGAGGAGGGTGGCTGTCAGTGTATCACAAGAAATAACAATAAAGAAAATGTTTAATATATTTTCATGCTTACTAGCTCAGAAAAGGAAAAATGGATTCACCACTGAACCAACCAAATACTTTAGTATTTTTAATGGAACACATAAACTCACAGCACACTTACGTTACTTCTAATGCACGCTTTAAATCTCATTAAAGTTGCTTAAACAAGTACATGCATGCATTAATGTCTTAATTTATATTTACAACCTATAATTACTGAGTGCAAATGAGGAGCAGCAGAACATATAAAGCCCTGGGAGTTAGGTAAAGGTTAAAAAAAAAAAGTAATGTTTTCCCTGTGCTTAACTAATTAAGCAATACACCATAAAGGCATATGGGGGAGTGGATGTATAGATCCATATTTCCTGACCTCTGAACTAGCTGGAGGTGAGTGGTCAGCTTCACGCCCCAGCCGCTTAACCCCCAGGGGAAGAGTCCTCAGTACCCACTGGATAGGAGGCTGGGTGGGCCCCAGAACCAATCTGGACAAAAGAAAATTCTTTCCCCTACTGGGACTCGAACTCCGGCCCCTCGGTCATCCAGCCTGTAGCCAGTCACTACACTGACTGTGCTCTCTCGGCTCCCCTGTGGGAGTGAGGTGCTGAAATTATATATGTGGGGTCCAGTACTTACATCAGAGTGAACCTGTCATTTGCTTAGGAGACTGCATGTCTTTGCTGTATGTGCAAATGCTAATTGACAGGTTAATTAAACTCTCTACACTTGTTTCCACTGATCTGGATCAGGTGTTCGAATGTATTCAATAAGAATCCTTCATAGCATCATGGTAGTTCAGCGCAAAAAATACAATAAACCAGTATGACTTTTTTCTTTTAAAATCTCATTTAACCCTATTTTTCATAATTAAGGCTGATAAATGAGGGTCCATGCACTTTATTCCTACATAATGAGTACAGAGGAAATAAATCTGAGGGGTTTATATAAATAATTGAAAATGATCGCAAGAAATATTTAAGAAAGTATTACAGTCTAGTGCTTGACAACTGTCATGCTGCCATAATAAATGACAATAGAGTTCCATTACGTAAGGTACATGAAGCCTGATGTCCGACATATGCTGACACATTCATACCACACTGTTGCTATATTCTCTTAAAGTAATTATATCCAAGTCATTCTGACAATATGCAAAGTTATTATTATACAGCACTCAAATATGAAGTGTGTAATCTAATAAACAGTAAATTAAACATGATAATAAGAAATACAATAAACATCCAATGTGTATCCAATTACACAATTCTGCGTTCAAATTACTAACGTAAGAGTGAACCATCATTTGAAAAACAGATGATATTAAGACATATTAATCATTACAGGCATAAATGCCATTACACAGTGTAATCATCTTGAAGCATGCGGTAAATCATTCATCCATTTAGGCAGAACAGCCCAACACTCCACCTAGTAACAGAGATACAGAGTACTAGCAGAACTGACAAGCCTATGGTCCAAAAAATTGCAAATAAGAATTATCCATATTACAACAGAGGCTGAAAATGCTCTATATTGTTGTAAGGTGAATGTTCAAAGCTGGGACTGATTTCTTTGTTGCTTCCCCCCTCCAAAAAATAACTAAAAAATGTGTAGTGCTCAATGAAGACACACTCGATCTAAACTGGTGCTACACTTCAACATTTTCTCAAAAGTCTATCAGATACATTACAAGGGAGACCAGGGTTTCAAGTTGTGAGCTTAAAGTTTACCCTGTTTCTTCAGTTCATGAATGTAAACTTTTTACAGAGGGGTCAGGAATGCATGCATAACAACAGAGAACATCTGCTGTAATCTGGATAAATTTTATTTGTAATTCATCATGCCATAAGCTTGTTGATTCTGCTGGCAGTCCATATCTTTGTAGCATGATCAGACAGAAGCATCTGATTCTTCAGCCTGAGCAGCTCAGTGATTTGTAGGAAGCTCTTACTGACCATTCTGTACATATACATAAAATCACACAAAGAAATTTTCATTCTCCTGATGAAAGAATTTAACAAATTACAAAAAAAGTGGTTGTTGTGGCAACTGCTAAATAACATTCAGACTTCTGAACAGGAGGTGATTTGGGCAGAACATATGCCATGAACTGAACAAAAGGAAGAATGTATGAACTTTCTTTGACTTGTGATTGTATCACATGAATGATGCAATGCAGAACTAAACATAACATGATACTAAAAAGAACTAGCTGTCCTTTCAGCATTACTGCACATTATATCCAGGTGACATATGAGGAATGATCCATTCATGAGTTAACTGTATATGCAACAACCTGGATAATCATTAATGAGGTACAACAATTTAGAAGCCCTGAACTCAGATGCCTGTAGCACGGACACTGAACCCAGACCTTCACCAACCTACCTAAAAACTAAGGAGCAAAGCAAGCGATGACAAGACGGATGTGAGAGTAAGTTGGACGGAAAGCACAATAGATCATTGAAGGTTGCAGTGATAGGGCCAGTTTTATGGCTCACCCTCATACTCAAGTTGGACGGAACTGTACACAGTAAGTATGCCTGTCATCAGACTGGGATAGGCTCTAGCCAGGATGGGAGATTATTAGATGAAATTAAACTGTACTGCCTGATCTCCCTGTGCATTATGGGAGAGATACAACAGTTGGCATCTGCCACTGAAATAACTTCAACTTGATTACTCTTGTCTACTCAATAACTCATTCATGTTCCCTCATCTACAACTCAGTCAGGTGCTGGGACTGAACATACAAACTAGTTTAAGGTGTGGGGTGGACAAAGGTGATGTGTAAACTATGGGATGGAGGCAGCAGATGACCACAGAGAACAGGTAACCTAAGGGCAGCAGACATCTGCAGGAGATGCTGCAGCAGGCACCCACAGAAGGAAGCTAGACAAGGGCCGCAGCCAATCGCATAAGTCAGAGGCTGCAGAAAACCAAGAAAGCAGCAAAATGAGAGGCTGAAGCCAATCACAGAAGGTAGCCAGATGAGGAATAGCAGCCAACTCATGAGAGAGATATGGGCACCGGACGAGTGGAAGCAGCTGCCCACAGAGGGTAGCCAGAGGAGGGGAAGCAGAAACCATAAGAACTAAAAGACGTTTTAATATTTTTAAGGGCAGCAGCTGAACAGGGAGCAGAAACTCACTATGGGATGAGGTACTAAGCAGGCACAGGAGATGGAAGTAGTAACACACCAATGGGACAAAAAGGTGGAATCAGAAAGATTCTGTAAAAGCCAGGGAAGAAACTTCTGTAGTGTCTTTTTCAAAGCAATACATTGTCTTTCTCCATTAAGTGTAGAAGCAATCACTTCTGTTTGTTCATAGTGACAGTCAGGTGTTTCACATGTTGGATGTTGTGAAACATCTAACTGATGGAGTGCAAAAGACAAAGACATCTTGATCTTGGCAGGCAGATCTATGAACACAACACTGTACCACCCCATTTGGTACTCTCTCTAAGGGAGTTCCTGACCAAGCACAACATTCCACTGGTTACCCACCTACATATTTACCAGATTCAGTACAGAGAGGCTTTCCTCTATTCCAACAACTGGGGAGTACCAAAATGGAGAGAGATTTCAGAAAGTGCCAGATATCATCCAAAATCTGACATGGGAATTGACCAATCCCCTGAAAGATGAGTGCATTCAATCAATAATGTATACAAAATTGGAGACATAGCACCATACATCCTTAACCCCAGGACTAGATGGAGGACAATGGTCATCTTTATATCCTGGTCACTTAACCACCATACCCATTCCGTAAGAGGCTGAATGGACTACAGAAACAATCTGCATGCTTTGGAGAAGAGAAAAATCGCTACTCCTGGAGGGGATCGAATCCTGGTTCTCCAGTTGTCCAACCTGTGGCCTAATCACTATACTGACTGAGGTATCCTGACACCCACAGTAAACAAATAAAAAGTAAACAAAGACAATTCAATATAAAAAAGTAAAGAATCTATGACTTCTGCACAGAATATGGACGGACTTATGTCTGGGGCCATGAAAAATAAACACTATGTTAAAAAATACTGTAAATGGATCGTGCTAATAGGATCTTGTCGTAAATGGTCCAAAGCAAAGCCACAGTTAATTTGCATTTCTGAACTGTGCTTTTGTGACATATATCATATGGACTAAAAAAAGTAAAGTAAAAAGTAAAAATATCCCTGTAACAGGCCATGGAGGCCCATAGGGTTGTGAGATGTTGAGGTTCCCAAATTTTCTAGATAATTGGCTCATAGAGGGTGGCAAGGTTGTCAGCCTTACACACTGGCCGCCCTTTACTCCCAAGAATATTTCAAGAATATCCCTTATGTATCCCTTAAGAATACTTATGTCTGTTAGAGGCTGAGTCGATGCCATAGTGTGGCTAGGATTAGGTAAATTGAAAAAATCCAATGGCCTCATCGGGACTTGAACCAGTGACCTTCCGGCTTGTAGAATAGTGCCTCAGTCAACTACACTACCAAGCTTGACTCGGAAGCCAGGCTGGGATTAATTTCACCACAAACGCCTGAGCTGACTCCCAACTTTGCGACCCACACACGGACGAGTTTCTGCTTGTCTTTCAGAGAAAGGTGAAGTATGTTGCATCTAACCTATTATTAAAACCATCATTTATTACAGTTTGGAAATGCAGACTGTGGGAATGTACTGTTATGATATAGAATAATGAACACTTGACTTTGTCACCTCTTCAGCCAAATGAAATATTCTGAACATGATCTTCATATCTTCACATCACTGGAGCTGTGGACACAGTACTATGTGGTGTTGTTGGGCGTGACCCAGCTATTGAATGAGTTGTAGATGCATTCAGTGATGCCATTGTCCCCATCTGGAAGTAAAATAACGAGGCTATACATTTATTTCATCACATAAAACTGAAAAGCCAAACACAAGATGAGGTTCTCCTAGTTGACAATCATTCACCTGTTCAATAATTTTCCTTTTCTTATGGAACCAAAAGATTCATTAGAACACCAAAATAGTATATTCTGTTCATATCTTCCATCTCTAATTCCCTGTGATCCATATGGTTAGCTTTAATATGTATAATTTTCAACTGCAGGTTTGAAATATTCAATAACAGCTTTCTACAGTCTTACAAAATAACATGTGAAAAGGAAATAGTAAAGTTTTATGTGGGAGAATAAATGAAAAGAACCAATTCTGGCAATGGGTTGCACGAATTTAATTGCTTCCTTAAGCAGTTTATTTTACTTTTCAATTTAATTAGCACAACATTTTTATCAATTTCACTTAATATTATTGACACAAATGTGAAGATCATAGTTATATCAGGTACATAATGTATGCCTTTATAGAAAAGATACTGAAATCCAAAACTGGGGTTCAATATTGCTTACCCTGAGGTGAGCTAAATCTTCGAGCTTGGTTAGGTCAGACAGTTCAAGGTACAGAGAATACACCAGTAGCCAGCCATACACACTGGCCACTGTATAGAGAATCCACAGAAGGCACATAGCAATGTTGTATCCAAATATCATGTCATTCACTACTGATCCAAACACAAATGCAAACAGCCGAAACAGTGTAAATACAGCAAAGCAGTAAAGCCAAGGAACCATCTTCTTCTCATACTCCTGTAGATAAAGAAACAAAATATATGCATGCAGAGTACACAATAGGTGAACTGGAACAACAAAGAGTGGAAGTCCTGCCATGGAACACTCTGACTGCCAAGCCCTGCCAAGCCCTGCCAGACTACCTGATAGAAATGCCAAGGTTGTTTGGGAGGATATGCACGGCCATAGAAAACCCCTCAAATGACCTTCAAAGCACATTAGTATGTCTCACTTGATGTCATGTATTGAAAGAAATACTGTATTAATTATAAATGATTGGATCTCTCTGGCTGCTGCAGTTTTAACTCATCCTGAGCTAATCTGGTGGGTATGTGGCATATAGAAGTGTTAAACAGACTAAATTCCAGACACCAGGGGCTCTAACTTTTTTCACACTCCCTTCAGTGATTTATCAAATTGCACACTTAATCTAAGAGACACGCCATAGTGTAGTTGGTTGGGGCCAGAAGGTCATTGGTTCAATTCCCAATGAGGTCACTGGATTTTTCAATTGACCTAATCCTTCCTGCCACACTATGGCCTTGGGGTCGACTCAGCCTCTAACAGAAATGGGTACCAGGAATCTTCCTGGGGGCAAAAGGCAGCTGGTGTGTATGGCTAACAATCTCACTGCCATCTGTGAGCCAATTTTCTAGAAAATGTGGGAGCCTTGATGTCTCACAACCCTATGGGCCTCCACAGCCTCTTACAAGAATAGCTTTAACTTTTTTAAATTTAATTTAAGCAATTATGACATCGATAGTTTACAGTCCTGTAGGAAGGGCTCCGATGCCCATCAGCAGTGCTTCATGAAATACATTTGAAATTTTGTGCCTTAGTATAGTAATAATGTTTCACTGACTTCATAATATTGAGACAAAAAAAAAGTATAAAAATATTAAAGAAAACAATGTGATTGAAAATGTAATTTACTGGTCTTAGACACCAGTGAAGATGACACTATCTGTAATTCTGTAATGTTGAATGTTCCTGTTGTTACTATATTAATACAAAACTAATCTTCATATAAGCTGGACTATAACACATGAAGCAGTCTAAAGTTTTTCACTCTGTTATGGAACATTCCCATGGCTAGATACAGGTTGGCACAATACCACACCACGTCTCTGACCCTGACTAGCTTTCTAGCAGCAACTCTTAATCCTAGATTACAGATATACAATTAGACCACACCCCTTGACTCTTGTTATATAGTATTATTATTACAAATCCAGCAAATTACGAGTATGACAATGGCAGTGCTAATGAGTTTCATTCCATTTAAACAATATATGTAACATCCTACTAATGACATTTCCTCATTTAATACACCAAACATGAATCATTCCAATTCAACACCATAATCTATGATTGTCTTAGATTATTTCTCCAATTACATTTTATTTGTTTCAATTCATTTTACACTCTAACAGTTCATAGCTTCCAAATATTGTATTAATAAATACAAATAACACAACTATTTAACCTTGTAACGATTCTTATCTGGCTACTGAAAATAGTCCTTTCCCTTGTTCACATATCAAAATACCCTTATTTACAGGGGTTGAAACATTTTTCTAAGACCAACTCATCAGCATCAAAATTCACAGAACAGAATGGAAGACCAATGCTTTGTACTTACTTTTCTCAAGGCTATGATGAGGATTATACTTGTGACAAACACTGCCATTCCACCAATGAGAGAAAATAAGGCAAACACAATCATTGCATTGCGAACTGAAATAAGAGGAACACAGAATCAGGAATTTTTTATTTGTTTCACTCTGGTCCATCACACTAACAATTACAAAGACAAAACAACTCCGTCCAGTGTGACTGTCACACCGGATGGAGTTGTTTTGTCTTTATAAATCAGGAAAAAATTTAATTTGTATAAAATGCTCAGATGCAGCTAAATTTTCGCTTTTCCAGTATTTTCTGTTTATCAGCTATGGTCATGTCAAAGGTATTTCTTCCAGAAACACAAACACTGCATGCATTTTGCCATGGACTTGTGCTTAAAAATAATTCATACCATTGCTATAAGCCTAGAATGTTTTAACATGTTTCACAGATGATAGCAATAATCTGCATGCCATACATACTAAGGCCCACACACGTGTGGCATACTCTGTTGTCTGCAGAAAAGTAACACTAACAGCCAATAAGAGAAACTTCTCAAATGAAGCTTCTTATGAATACCAGTAATTGGTCCAACATGTAAACATTTTTGGTAGCTACTGCAACACGTGCAACTCCTTTCAGGTACTAGACTATTTTCATTCTAAAACAAAGTTCTTTTGTATATTTTGCAATCCCTACTTATGAAAACTTGTGACATATACTTTACCATGGACATTTCCAACATATACAAATTCGAAGCTGATAATGTAGTATCCATAGTGGGTGGAGCCAGGTGCAGCCTGGGAAAGGCAGTAGATATCAAACATGGCCGTGAAAATTGTGAAGAGACTCAGCAACTGAGAATTATAAAACAGTTTTCTTATATAATTACAGCTAAGTCCAATGATATTAAATATTCATATACAGGAAGCTATTTAGGTAGGGATATGACAGTAGAGTAATGTACATCCAGAGAAACAATTATATTGTGACACGACATCTAAGAGCTACAATAATGGGACCAGAAGAGGTTGTCTCCTGTGCGGTAACAGCTGGTAAACAAGATATGACAACTGGGTTCCACTATAACGAACAAATGACACGACAAAGGAGGAACTCCTGGAAATGGTGTTTTGTATTGGGTCTGACCCAAGGCTATAACAACCAGAGAAGGTTGGTCACAATCATGAATGTGAGGGAGTTGGTGCAATGGGTTACATGCAACAGTGATGCCAACCAGCGAGGACAGGGGCCATTGAACGCGTAAGACGAGGAAACGACACTGTGGGGCCTATAATATGGCAATGGCTAGTAAACATAAACTGAAAAACTTGGTGCGTGCTGTAGTGGGAAGTTGACTGCATAACTTGGTGGCAGTGCTATAATTACTTGTAGTTACGATTTATAAGAGTCCAATAAATCCAATTACCAATCAAAACCCCATGTCTAGTCACTAAATATGTGACATTATAATGTGTGCTATTTTAAAATGTCATCCTTGATAGCAGTTATATATTCTTAGGTTTCTCTATCTTTACTGACCTTTAATTTGGCTGTTTGGTATACACTAACAACTATTGCAGCCACTTACCATTCATTCCAGTGTTCCATGGTTTAAGACTTCACATACTGTAATTCTGACAGTACATATTTCACATGGAAAAATAGGGCAAATACTTCCATTTCAGTGGCAGAAAATGGATACTACAGATGACTGTTATTTCACAATGTTGGGCTTACATAAAATTATTTGGAAGTTCATACTTTATTTTCAATAATGTGTTGAAAAATATGGTAACCTATAAAAATTTCTTGTCCATAGCTATACCAACTCAGCTATTGTGGCTCTAATATTAATTAGTTCAGTTTCTTCCTACATTCAAAATTAATAAAGTCAAGAAACATGTACTGTTTGCATAGTTAGTATTTGCAAATGATAACATTACCAAGAAGCTGTACCAGAATGGAACAGAATTGCAGAATCACCTAGGCCTGTGAAGAAACAAATGTTAGCAAGAGTGAAACTGGCATGCATTATTATATAGCTTGCCAAACATTGTTAAAATATATATACTGTCATACGTAGCGTGGTATGCGTCAGAAAAATGACACGATCTTGTTTGGATGATTGGATTCATTAGCACCTTGGTTACAATCTTGCTCTTAATCACATTTAAATACAGCACTATCGCTGCACCCCCATCCCCTATGCACGCGCATGCACACACACACACACACACACACACACACACACACACACACACAGAGGTTCTCTCCTGGCACCACAACTAAAACACAGGAACTAAATTACTAGCCCAGTAGTAAAATTCCCACTGAAGTGAACAAATCTAAGCACATACAGTATGGCAAGTAAACATATTTCTAACTCAATTTCATGTACTACTTCATTGCACCAACTTACTAAGGAGTAAATTCCAGTCACAAGAGCCCCTCTTTGGATATCCAACACAATAGCATCTTGCAATATTGGCCTCTGATACCATGGAATTCTGATAGAACGCATGGAACGAGATGATTTCAGATTAGCCGATGACCTTGTGGTCATATGGGAGTATACTGAGGGTGTCCCCATACTTGGAGTTTTCCTTCCAAAATTCATTTCTGAAAATAGAAAAATAAATCAGTTACTATGTATAATTATAAATTGTTTTATTCTACTCTCTGGTATAAAATATACAATAACGTATGTCACATCTTAAATGGAGATAGCAGATAAAACTGTTTGCACTGTTGGTCCAATACAGCTGAAGCTATGGAAGAGGATATGGAAGAACTAAACTGAAATATTCTTGAAGAAAGTCATCTTCTGGGTTTAGGCACCGTGTATTCTTCGTTTTGGCCGACGTTTCGGAGGAACGTAGCGCCTCCATCTTCAGAGCAGTTGAATGGCTTGGAATGCGGAGAGCAGTAGCTGTACATGGTGCCTAAACCCAGAAGACGACTTTCTTCATTGTCATTGGCGTGAAAACCTCAAAACTTACATGAAATATTCTTGATTAGTATTAGATAACAAATATATCAGTATAGCAATAGACATTTCCACAATAACCTTGTAATTTTCTAGGCTTGAATTCAACACAAAACATGTAAAACTAGTAGACAAAAATTTGAAACCTTCCACAAGAGATCCCTGTATTGCAGAAATAACAGGACATAAACCTGCTGACCAGTTAATGGCTCTGTGCTTCACAGTGACCAGTGTGCTGCTTGCCACGAGACACACATGAATTTTGCTGATGTATCAGCCTGCCTGATGGTTGATAATGTTTGAATGAAGGGAAGTAATTAACTTGTGGACCACTTGATGGCATTATGTTTCATGGTGAGCAGTGCAGTTCATGTGTGGGAGTATATAATTTGTCAGCAGTAGGCAGAATTTATTAGCTCCATTAGCTACTCATTCTCAGTTACGGTTACTGCAGTGTAGTATGCCATGGTGTGGTATGCTTTAGACCAGGCATGTCCAACTTCAAACCGGTTGTGATCGACTTTTTAATGTCAAAACTGTCAGTGATCTACTACCCCCTCCTATCGTTGTACCTCGCTTTAAGTAAAAATATTAGTAAAAATAACACAACACGATTTTTTTTTTGTAAAAGCAACATACATTGAAAGTATGGACTTACCTTGTTTGTTAAGAACAGAAAAACAGGAATGACTAATACATATTTTCCCTTCAAAATCTGAATATAATCATATTATATTACAAGTGAATTTACATGATTTTCACGTATAATTTCCTTATTGACCTATGAGCTCGACCAAAAATCGTCCTGCGATTGACGTGTTGGACTGGCCTGCTTTAGAGCAACCTGTATTTCTGTATGACACGTACATGAAATTCATATCTGTTAGAAAGTGTTGGCAAAAAAATCATGATGGAGAGTTCCCGGCAGACAAACAATTCACAATTTCGTGAATAAACTTAGAAAACTGGGACTCTTAATACAAGAAACAAAAAACATAAGTGCCAAGTGCCTACAGAGAAGTTCGATGACACAGGGACCAGATTTGAACATACACCTAGAAAATCACTGAAACATCTAGCCCAAGAGACTTGAAGCATCAAAGTCTAGTAAACGAATGGTAACACAATTGCTGAAGCTTAGAGCCCCCCCATAAAACAACAGTAATCTACGCCTTGCAGCCACGCAATCCAGCTAACAGGGTTAATTTTTGCAGCTGATTTCTACAATCTGTCATCAGAGGTGAGATCGATCTGCAATTGATATTATTTTCTGACGAAGTGTGGGTTCACTTGCAGGAACACACAAATATGCAAAATTATTCCTACTGGAATTCACATAATCCGCATTTAACCCATGAAGTTCCACTCCATGTAGTAAAAGTTGGTGTCAAGTGTGCTGTAAGTGCAAGGATTGTTGGACCTCTTATTGTTGAATAATGCCACAAAGTGCTGAACAGTTCTATACATGTCTGAGAATTTTGTTTTAACATTCCACATATAAGATGAATCATCCTAACCTCGCCCTTTAATCTTGTTGTTTAGTATATTGTGCTCAAGTAATGAAATCACTGTAAATGTTCACGAGAAAAATTATATACCAATTCTGTAGTATTAACAAAACCACAATTCTACACACGAAGAACTTTCCTAAGAGCCAACAGCATTAACCTATTCAGAACTAGGTGTGGCCATTGGCAACATTGGCAAGGCACAACACGCATCACAGTTTACCAACCTACTCGGGTTAATAAACAAGTCCAAGTAGTCATGGATTACCAACTATAGACAGTTTCTTTTTAATTCGCTTAGTGGGGGGGGGGTGGAATTCAGCTGGGTCCACTCGGCATGGTGGCCACTGATTGGTCTATTGTATCTGCCCCGGGTGATTATGATGATGGAGAATTTGGTGGAATGAAGATTGGCAGGGGAAACCGAAGTACTCGGAGAAAACCCGCTCCAGCACCACTTTGTCCACCACAAATCCAACTTGACTAGCCCGGGATCGAACCCGGGCCTCCGCGGTGGGAAGCCAGCTACTAACCGCTTGAGCTATGGCGCGGCCAAACTATAGACAGGTTAATCTAATGCTGGCTACCATTCAGCGCAGAGCCTTTCGTCTTTTCGCCTACTGTCTAAAAACATAAAAATTAGAATACACAAAACTATAATTTTGCCTGTGGTTCAGTATGGGTGTGAAACGTTGTCTCTAATATTAAGGGAGGAACATAGAATGAGGGTGTTTGAGAACAGGGAGTTGAGAATATTTGGACCGAAGAGAGATGAAGTGACAGGAGGATGGAGAAAACTGCATAATGAGGAGCTTCATAACTTGTACGCTTTTTCAAATATAATTAGAATGCTCAAGTCAAGGAGGATGAGATTGGTATGTAGCACGAATGGGGGAGAGGAGAAATTCATATAGGATATTGGTGGGAAAACCAGAAGGAGACCACTGGGAAGACCAATGCGTAGGTGGGTGGACAATATTAAAATGGATCTCAGAGAGAAATGATGGGATGTTATGGATTAGATTAATCTGGCTCAGAATATGGATCGCTAGTGGACTCTTGTGAACACGGTAATGAACCATCGGGTTCCATAAAATGCTGGAGAATTCTTGAATGTTGCACAATTGGGAGCATCTCAAGAAGGGCTCAACTCCAAGAGTAAGTGAGTGAGTTAGTGGGTGAGACAAGGTAATCATAACATTTAACACAGACAAAGCCAAATGAAGGCCATTGAATAATTATGAATGTATAGCATATAGCGTATAAATAAGGTAGTAATAACAAAGATTTGAAGGTATGGTAATTTGTAACAGCTTTGACTGAATCTGGGTAAATTATGAAAATTTAATTTACAAGTGCAGTCTTAAAGACGCAGACTTCTTATGTTAGATTCTTCTGACATGTTTCTTTATCGGCTTTCTTCTTTGCGGCTCAATTGAATGGCCCATAGCTTTGCAGCTAGAGTATCCATATTCCACAAGCACCGACCTACAATGGGCGAATTTTTGCATAACGAATACGAACAGAATCTTTCCAACCAATCAGGCGTCAGCAAGGCATACGTACGTACATATATACATAGTGTCACGTGTAGGGTGTGTGCGCATGACTTATGATGGGTTTTGGATTGGATGATTGGATCTATTAACACCTTATACACAGCACTCTGAACTACAGGCAATTACAGCGCTTTCGCTGGTATACACACTTGATAGTTCACCGTTACACACGCACTAGGCTTCTCAGTCATCATTAGTCTTATCCTGGCAACGGATTTATAACAGTCTCACTGCCACTTCAAATCACACATGAAGTTTTCTTTTCACAGCCTAATTCCTTTCTTGCCATTATTTTGCAAATATAAATTCCGAAGACTCGACTCAGTTCACTTCCTCTGATCCCAAGCTCATATCCTGGCAGGCTGGCATCTCGAAACTCGACTCTACTCTTCTACATGGAAGAAGAAGAAGAAAAAGAAGAAGTGGAGGTGGTAGTGAGAGACACTACATTGGGGGGGGGATAAGAAACTATATCTCCGATTTTGAAAGTTCCCAGGCAGTGCCCGCTTGCCCTTCTGGTAAAGATAGAGCATATAATCGGTTTTCTTTTTGCTATCGTTGGGAGGCCTACATTCGGGCGAAATTTTGATGTTTACAATGGGATGGCTGTATGTGAGGCATACAGTACAACGTGGAATTTGGGTACCAACTCAGCATTTGCTCTAGTACCGAGGAAAACCACGGAAAACCTTGGTCGATCTCAACTGAATTCTTCTTTATAACCACTTTGCACGGACCACGCAGGAAACAGCCTCTCTATTGTTGGGAAGGTGTGTGTAGAGCACCGTTGCATAGGAACGGAAGCCGCTAGATTGTTGCTTGCCTATTTGTTGCCGCGGGAATGTGTTTACCGAACCGTTGCCTAGCAATAAACGTCTATTCTGACTTCACTATTCCGGCTTTCGGGCGTCATGTCACAATATCTACACACATACAAGGAGACGGTATCTCAAAACCATTTTTTTTCCTATTCAATGGATTAGAAAACATGTAAATCCGTAAAAATCATGAAATCGTTTTCCTTTCGTCATCAGAATATATATATTCATATACATTCACTACGCATACGAAAAAATAAGCACAACACACCACACACGTTATGTAATGCAGTAATCAGCACGCAGCCATCTGGCCAGCAACGTAGGATGACGCTCCGTACGCTAAGAGTGGGGTGACTTGCGCGTCAGTTGTTAAAAAATGGAGCGTTGGGCTGGACGCGTTGCCGTAGTAACGGGATCTAGTGCTGGAATTGGGATGGCAATTGCCGAAGAACTCGTCAAGAAAGGGTTGAAAGTGGCCGGCTTAGCCCGAAGAATTGACAGAATTCAGGTAGTGTGCAAATATTTCTGTAGGTATGCCGTCATCCAATAGTGACGTAAATAGTTGTGTCACTATTACAGATTTACTAGATTTTATTTTCAACAGACGATGGAAGGAGCAATCTCTCAACGCCTGAGAATTGTGAAGGACGCAGTCGTGCCCTGATCACTGTTGGCATTTGAGTAGAGCGTCAGGAAAAAATACTAGGATATCTGGGTCGCGGCAGAGATTCAAACCGAACTCGAATACGAGTCTAGAGCCCTACCACTACACCAGTCTGCTAGGTCGACAGTTAGTATAAATGCAAATAAATTTAGATTCGTTCTGCACTTCTCGGCTACATACATTTGCTATCTGCAGAGATGTTTCTCATTAGCAAGGAGGACATTACGTGTTAAGAAAGCCAGTATTGTGGTACACTTAACTTTTTTTTTCCTTGGCACTGCAGCCCCAATGGGCCTAGGCCTACCTCCATGAACTTCTCCGTTCACAGCGGCTTTTCTAGTTCTTAGACATACGGTAGGACTCCTTGGGCGGGTGATCAGCTCGTCGCAAGACCTCTACCTGTACACAAACACAGAAAGACGCACACAAACATCCATGCCCTGAGTGGGATTCGATCCCACGATCCCGGCTTCCGAGCGAGCGAAGACAGTGCACGTCTTAGACCGCTCGGCTACCGTGACCGGCACACTTAACATACAGTTCCTAAATCGTTGAATAAAAAGATGAACACAAATCGAATTGCTATCAATACTGATATTACTTCTCCACTTTATTCTGTACATATTATAACTTTTAATTCAGAAGCCGGCATAGGTTATGAGTTGGAGGCCGAGGAATTGGAATTCGATTCCCGGCAGGGTCAAGAGATTTTTCTCTTATCCACAAATTGCAGACCTCTGTGGTCTATCTAGCCTCCTATTCGAAAGTTACTGGTAGCTCTTTTCCCATGACAAATGAGCCGGAGCGTGAAGCTGATCATCCACCTCCGTCTAGTGTCAAGGTTATTACTGCGTGGGCTTCGATTTTTAATCCGTCTTATATCTTCATGGTGCTGTGTTATATTTGCTATTTTATACCTTCATATTTATAATGTTATATAGTATGTGCTTCTAACAGCAGTAGTTTCAAGTGCAAACGAAGGTCTTAGATAAGGCCTATAAATATAATAAGATTTTTATTTTTTCATATCCTTATTATTGCGTGGCACGACGGATATTTTCTGTCCGTTTTCCGGATTTGAGAATCGTCTTTATAGGTGTTTGGTAGGAGTCCTTGGACAGGCGATCGGCATATTACAAACCTCTACTTATACAGGACAAAAGAAACCCTGAAAAAATTGCCAGTACATATATATTCATGCCTTGAGTGGGATTACTCGTAGAACCCGTGATTCAGTTTCTTGAGCAGTAGAAGACGGTTATCTTGCTTTGCATGTTTGGCATTCTGCTGTGCCGTATGCCACTAATGTGTAAAATAATGGCCGCGCCATAGCTCAAGTGGTTAGTCGCTGGCTTAGCGGCCTCCGTAGTCTAGAGGTAACGTTCCCACCTCATGACTCGTGGTACGCGGGTTCAAATATCCGGCGGAGGTCTTCGAGTTTTAAGGGCGGAAAAATTCAGGGAACAAGTCCTCCGGGCGGGACTTTAAGCTGTGTGTCCCGTGTCGTAACTTTACGGCACGTAAAAGAACCTCATATCCCCAAAGGGGATCACTGAGTCAAATTCCAGGACGTTTCCCGCCCAACAACAGTCTCTAAGGCCTCTGATAGATGGGGGAAGCATTATAGACACCGCTAAGCAAGTGGCCGAACTCGCTTGCTCGGCGGGACTGATGGTACGCACCATTTATCGGTAGGGTAAAGAGACTGGTAGAATATCATAGAGGGAAGCACAATAGATCAAACTGGTCGCGGTGCATGGGGAAACCCACCCTCTCTAAATAACTAACTAATAACTAACTAGTCGCTGGCTTCCCACCGCGGCGGCCCGGGTTCGATCCCGGATCTGATCAAGTGGGATTTGTGGTGGACAAAGTGGCGCTGGGACGGGTTTCCTCCGAGTACCTCGATTTCCCCTGCCAACCTTCATTCTACCAAATTCTCCATCATCATATTCACCCGCTGCAGGTACAATAGTCCAATCAGTGGCTGCCGTGCCAAGTGGACCCAGTTGGACTCCACTCCCCACTAAACGAATTAAAAAAAGATGTCCGTCGATCACAACAAATTCATTGGAATGAACTTCTGTTCTATTCTGACGATAAATTTATTGGCGGAAGAATTAAGTTCCGTAACGAGAAACGCAGAAGCGCTAGTAGACTCGAGTAAGGATGTTGGTCTAGAAGTGAACATAAAGAATTAAGCGTAGTGTATTATCACGCGTTTGGTGACTAGACACGGAGTTTGAATAGGTAACTGCATTTATTGGACACTTAAAACTTGCAACTACAAGTAATTATATCAGTAATTTACACACGCTAGAATTTATTATCGAACCCACCAAGTTTTCTAGGTTTTCACTAGGCGTTGCTACGCAACTGCTTCCAACAGTGGTGACTCCTTCGCCTCCAACCTCTCCGTCAGGAGTAGACTGTCTCACGGCAACCTCAGCTGGTTGCCACAGAAATGTATTACCGAGCTGTTCTATAATAACCGCAGGCTGTTTAGGTTGCTGCAGTCTAACAAAGGAGGTCTTCCTATTCTACTCTTCCAGGTTTCTGCCATCATTTCACAATTTGCTTATTTCTGTTACCGAAATGAGGAACAGAATCATAATAAAACGTAATTTCTAAATATGTCAAAAGTCCGAACATTTTGGAAAGACGACAACTTAAATTAATTTCACGAAGAAATGAGAGCAGATTCTATTTCACGAATGGCTGCTACCAATTGGTTCCAAAACTCTCGTCTTTCCTTCTGCTGGCTAGAAAGGTAAAGACTAAAATATGTTGTACAAAACTATAAATTATCCTGTTATTCTGTGTAAGTGTAAAACCTAGTCTCTCAAATTGTGGAAAGAACATATATTCAGCATGTTTGAGAGAAGGGCATTGAGGAGGATATTTGGAACCAGCAGGGACGACGTTAAAGGGAGGTGGAAGATAATGCATAAGGAAGACCATCATCCATTTTATTCGTCAATAAACATTATTAGGTTGAACAGATCAAGGAGGATTGGAAGGTCGCTATCTGTAACACACATACGAGAAAAGAAATACATACAAAATTCTGTACGGAATACTTGAAGGGAAGAAATCGCTTGGAAGACGTAAGCTAGGACAGAAAGAATTAACCATCGAAGTGGGTGGCATGGATTAGATTTATCTGGCTTAAAATCTGGCCAATATGGGGCTCCTCCGAATAGGTAATGAATCTGCGTATTTCTTGACTAGTTCAGGGAAGACAAGAATAATTCTCTTCCATGAATGTAGTCGGTTAGTTTATTAGTTAGGCGAATAAATGGACTAATAAACTGACATGCAGTGATTTTAATTCAATTGAAAATGTTATTTAAAATGTGCTATATTACATATTGGAGATATGAACATAATGAAACACATATTCTTGATACGGATTATGTATTCGACGTTCCTTATAGAAGGGCTTTATATTAGCAGTACTACATGTTATGACGTTCTCGATTTATGGGTTCTTTCTAATATCAAATCGACATACTTCATAATTGCATTAAGAACTATGACTCTTCTGCAGGAAGCGTCTGCCAAGCTGCAGAACATGCCAGGAGAACTGCACCCGGTGCACTGCGACGTCACCAAGGAGCAGGACATCCTGACCGCCTTCTCATGGATCAAGGAACACCTTGGAGGCGTCGACATCATGATTAATAATGCGGGGATCGTGCACCAATCATTTCTCATAGGTATATCATTCCTACTACACCATGGATATCTATTCTGTCGCGTGCCCTTCAGTCCATTTGGTGTATGAAGAATTATCGAACTTTTCGAGGTGCTAGAACTGCTGCCTTGTACAGAAGAGAAGAGGCCGGTCAGAGCAGCTAGAAATCTTGAAAGCCATCCGGTAGGGAATAGGTCGTAGACTGAAAGTAAAGTATAATTAGCAGCAAGGGTAGAGCAACAGCTAACCTCTTTCCTTCCACATTTGACAGAAGAGTTAACAACTGTAGCAGTAGCAGAAAGGAACAGGAATATGTGAGGGCAGTAGGGAATTAAGCGCAATTTTGACCTCTGACTTCTCTCAGATTTTATTACTTTATTCGTTTAGTTACTTCTCCAGCCTCATATGGAAGTAACAATTTACAAACACCCACACAGTCCTACCCCAGTAACAGATGTTAATTTGTTCCGTGAAATATGTCAGTAGTTAACAACAATTTGAAATTTTTAATAAATAACTGATAGACTAAAATTGTGGATAAAATCAGTTAGTTCTATTGAAGTGTTATTTTCCTGCATGTTTCGGTTATTTATGGCTATCATCAGGCGTCTATAAGAAACTGCTTGTCACAGTGGATTCATTGCTATTAGTCTTGTCATGTAAAAGTTTTTACAGAGAATTATATTTTTTAAATATACTGAAATACTTGTTTAAATTATTAAAATTTATTCAAAATTATTATTATTTTTTAAAAATTATCTTATTTTATATAAGGTGCAATGGTGTAGGGGGAACGGTGAGTATATACAAGTATGTAGATAAATGTTGGTGTTATGTTGGTATACGTTGTAGGTGGCGATGGCCCGGTGCCATCTTGTTTTGGTTTTTTAAGCTTTTTAACCTTCTGTGGTAAGCTTTCTGATCATGTTCTTATTTGTTGTTCTATGCTAGAAAGCTTTTGCATATTGAAGTTTTGTTTATGGCATTGTTTCCTGGTTTACTGTTGAGGTGCAGTTTCATCGCTTCTGCTGATGTGGTGTTGAATCTGATTGTATTGTTGGGAATGGCAAAAATACGAAAAAAACTTACTAACATGGAACAACAAATAAGAACATGACCAACGAGCCTACCATAGAGCGTCTAAAAGCTCAAGACTACCAAAAGAAGACAGCACCGGCCTATCGCCACCTACAGCCTTCTCACATAACATTAACATTTACCTATATATATACCCGCACCATTGCACCTACTACATTCCACCCTATAAACCCCCTATATATAATAAAACAGATTTTAGAAACAAAAATAATAATTTTAAATGAGTTCTACTAATTTTAGACAAGTATTTCGATAAATGTAAACACTGTAATTCTATGTAAGAACTTTTCATGATAAGAATAATAGCAATAGATTCATTGCGCCACGCAGCCTAGTAATGAATGTAGACTACAAAAGCATGACGAGGAATGTAAATGACCGAAACATGCAAGAAAATAACATCTTAATAAAACCAACTGATTTTATCGGCAATTTGAGCCTATCATTCATTTATTGAAAGTATAAAATGTTTGTGATCGACTGACAAATTTATATAGCAATGAGATACATACCAGAATGCAAAGCATACGAATGAAGGTCGTGAAATATCGTCGATTAACGATTCATCAGTTAACGGACGAAATTTTAATATCTGCTTTGCTTTTCATTGTAGGGCACACAGTTTACCAGTATTGTTAAAATAATTACAAAATATGACGAATAAGAGAAAACACTGTTAAGATTTCACTACCATACTACCAGAACGGCTGGCCGAAGTGACAGGTTGTGACATTACCAATGCGTGCTCGCATTTACAGTCATCGAACGGCAATTGTTTTGGCAGTTGAATATATCGTGGAAGAGTCGATGGATCGAATTCGCCCATAAGCAGGAGGTCGATTAGCAGGGTATGTCTTCAATTAAAACATTAAAATTAACCCATTATTCTAACAAATTACCAATGACCATCGAGGTAAATAGTACAGCTCGCTTAACTAACAGGAAGCTTTTGTTTTCCCACCCCGGCGGCCCGGGTTCGATCCCGGGTCTGGTCAAGTGGGATTTGTGGTGGATAAAGTGGCGCTGGGGCAGGTTTTCTCCGAGTACTTCGGTTTCCCCTGCCAATCTTCATTCCACCAATTGCTCCACAATCACCCTCACCTATCATCTGGGGCTGGTACAATAGGCCAGAAGTGACCTCAGTACAAGGGACTTAGTCCCACCCCACTAGCAATAAAAAACAGCAGATTTTGTCGACTTCGCCTGTCTGTTGATGACTGACACGCTTATTAGTTGAGAAGTTACCGACAGTAAGGCTACATTATTGAGAGTTTTAGATTGTGATCTTCTGGATTGTGACACCGTGTAATCTTGGGTCCACCCAGGAGACAGGAACCAGATTCATTGGAAACTCTGGTAATCATTTACAACACTACACTACTACGAATTTGTTCGATTGATGATTGTATAATAATACTATACCAGAATTTGAAGTGCTTCATGCAACTCGCCTTGCCTAAAGTCGTCTGGGACTCTTGTATTTAAACACAGACGGGGAGACATCAGATTGGCTCCAAATGCTGGATGTTAACGTGCTGGGGCTCAGCATCTGCACTCGGGAGGCGATCCGGTCCATGAAGGAACATGGAATCACAGATGGACATGTCGTACACCTCAACAGGTAAAAGTTTCTCTTTGTATATATTCGTACTCAGCTTCTTGAAACTTATAGATGAGCTGAAGCTAAACTTCATTAATTTCAGACCTTGGCATCAGCTACAAATTTGTGGATAACTTCGTATTCTGACTGATTAAAACAGCGGGGGAAATGTCAACTCAGGGCCTTAGTTAGAACTGTGGTTTGTGGATTTAGCTTGCCCTCTTCGCAAATGAATAGAAACGTTTTTATTTCTGAAAAAATTGGATGACGAAGGGTCAAATATTTGTAAATCGTGCTTAAAAATTGAATTAAGGAAATTGAGACAATAAAGGCTTTCAATACATTTCCAACAAATATAAATTTGTGACAAGCTACAGTACCATACCCCTAAGTTATAGGCTGTAACATGTTCGGTTTGTTCAGTATTGCAGGCCACGGTTTGCCTCAGAGTTCCAGAATGTTACATATGTACGCCGCATCAAAGAATGCCGTTACAGCTCTGACTGAAGGCCTCCGTCGCGAACTTGTAAAAGACAGTTCTAGGATACGTGTTACGGTAGGTATGATTTGATGTTATGCAATGCATTAACGTGTTTCTAAGGGGTATTTTAACCTTAAATTCTTTTCTCAGAGCATCAGCCCAGGTCTGGTACGCACAGAAATTTTCGAAGTTGGACACATGCAAAATATCACCTCTGAAGAACTGTTTTCTGAGAATGCCTACCTCGAGCCCAGGGACATTGTAGATGCAGTGATATATGTCTTAGGAACCCCCGAACATGTTCAGGTAAATACTACTGCCATTCTCATTCTAGGAACTAAGTTTTATATGATTCCAAGGTCACTCTGAACTTGAATACATTTTCCAGAATTCTTAATCAGCAAATGTTTTGCCTTCCATATACGAGTAGAGAGACAAACCTACAGCCCTAATTGCATGGATTTTGTCTATGAGCAGGATAATTATTGTCTTTGCTTCAGGAAAGATCATTAGACTGCCAAGAAACTGAAGATGTGCAAAAATCCATAGGCGTTATCTCTGATTTTAAAACGTAATCGAATCCTTCAAAAGTAGTTTCCTTACGAAAGTGTGTTGATGTGAAATATGCATTATATAACGATCTTAACATTCGTCGGAAACATTCTACGATGTCGTGAATAAGGTTCGATGATCAATACTATTCTTTGTATTCTCAACAACACTCTCATTATTCAGTAACAGTAAATAGTGATGAAATAGAAAGGTGTTATCTCCTGGGATGTGATACGGTGTAGTCCAGTAAGAATTCATCGATATTTCGCAGGAAAATACTGTCCTTATCTTCAGGGTTGAAGGTATAAGTAATCTGAAACTGACTTTGTGGGTTGCATCTTGTTCGTTGCCTACTTGGCTAACTTCGCTTACTTTTCCACCCTGAAGAGGCAGTGCGCACCCCGAAACGTCTGTGAACTTCTACCGGACTACATAGCATGACATCCCATAAGATAGAAATCTACAGTTACGGCTGTAAGAACCCCAAATCCGACATAATAATGAACTTAATTAAAGTAAAGTAAAAAAAAAAGTAAAGCTATCCCTGTAACAGGCCGTGAAGGCCCATAGGGTTGTGAGACGTTGAGGGTCCCACATTATCTAGACAATCGGCTCAAAGATGGCGGTGAGGTTGTCAGCCTTACGCGCCGGCCGCGCTTTATTCCCCAGGAAAATTATTTAATTAATTACATGATAAAAATAAAGGCTGCAGGTTTATTTAGCTTTCATTTGTTTATGCTGAGAGCTGTGAGTTAGAAATGTTCATATAGCTTAGCCGGTATTGCTAATAAGCTATGGGCTAGAAGATCAAAGAATCGGGCTTAAATTCCTGGCCGGGACAGAGATCTATCTCTCACCCACAATATCTAGACTGGTTCGAGTCCGCTCAGCCTTCTATCTAATAGGTACCAGGCTATCTTCCCCGAGGATTAGTATCTAGGGTATCATGTTGAATGATTACTTCACTGACCTCAATCTCATGGCAAGATTAAGCACGTGTGTTACTATATCTCTACTCTCCACGCATCTTCACGGCGTGGTGCTTAATTAAGTACAGAGGCAATTTTGACGTATTTAAAAATATAGCGTTCATTTAACTTCGTTTGCTCTAATGCTGTGGAAGAGGTTCCCAGTACGGGGAAAGGGGTTCGTTTACCTCGTTCCGTAGGCCAGACCGTCACACTCTGACAGTGAGGTTCATTCAGCACATCAGCCAAGAAATGGATGCACCAATCCAAGTCTTGGACTATGTTTTCAAGGAAGAAAAGTAGAAATCCCAAATTTCCGTCATGCTTACATTTAGAATGGACAAAAAAATCTTAAAGAGGCAGAAGAACATTTTCGACATAGGAGCCAAATGCTCTTGTTGATGGGCTTCAAATTGATACTTTATAAGAATTTAAATTAAAACATCTTAANTCAAATCTTACACAACCTTAATATTGATGCTATGTGTATGCATGCCTGTTTTCTCAGGTGGTTAGGTCCCCTATAAAGAGCTAACCTCAGTCACTTCAATCAGTCGGACAGGAGGAACAAAGTATGTATTTAATAGACATAAAGTTCCTTAACATGTTGCCGAGCAGTGAAAAATCTGATTTGTTTCGGGAAATATCCGACTCTAATATTGACTGAGGGTTTTCGTGGGTTTTCTTATCTCTTCAGGCAAATATCGAGATATTGCTAACAAACAGGTTACAGTTGCTTCTTTTGCAGCTTTTCCGGTTCATATTACCTCCCATGAGAATCGACGCTGAAACCTCTGTAGTTCATGCAGCGGAAATACAAATCTTACGAAATTGTTTTGTTAGTATGTTGATTATTTTAATTTTTAGCCCCAGATAACAGCAACTCCACACAGCGGCAAAACAGAATTGCAATATAACCGGTTTATACACAACTTATTTATATAAAATTATTGCATGTAAGACGAAACTGTATAAATAATCGTTATGTTCGTATTTCTGGGGGCACGCGATAACGTAATTGGTTGAGGCACTATGCTATTAGCCGGAAGGTCATGGGTTCGATTCGTGATAAATTAATTGGGTTTTAAAACGACCTATTTGTTCCAGCTGCGTTATGACCCTAGGGTCAACTCAGCTTCTAACAGTTAAGAGTACCCGGATTATTCTCGGGGCAAAGGGCGGCCGGCGCATGATGCTGAAAACCTCACCGCCGTTTGTGAGCCGACTGTCATGAAAATATGGTAGCATCGATGTCTTAAAACCTGTGGATCTCCTCGGCCTTTTGCAGGGATAGCTTTATATTTTATGTTCGTGTTTCTCTGTTTCAGGTCCATGAGTTGACTATTCTACCAACTGGGCAGAAATACTAAACAAGATGGAAATATAGGCCTAATTACAAAATTATAAGAACATTGACCCCGATACTTGTGGCCAATATTTGTGAAAATTCATTAGATAAGAGAGTGGAATATATAAATTAGTGAGTAGAAGTGAGAGAAATGGATGTTATTCGCAAATGGAAGAACGTCTGTCTCCCAGAATGCATCTGCTCAAGCACAGTATTCCGCAGACTCCAAACAAGCGACTGACGAGGAATATTAACATTCTTATTTAATTTTAGGATTTGAGGTTCTCATAGCAATGTTATGAAGGATTTTGCCTTCTGCGATATAATGCCGTGTACTCCGTTGAGAGTCAAGCGACTTTCGGGATGAATATATCACTCTGCTTGCCACCTGCCTTCACGCTGGTTTCTTGTTCGGCTTATTCTTCGACCGTGTAGATGGAGGCAGCATTTTCCTCCGAAATTTCAATTGACTTTCAATGGAATATACAGCATTACATCCAACAAGGCGGAATTCTTCTTAATTAATTACTTGGAATTGAATTTTAAGTGGGCTTTGTACAAAAAGCCGAAATCTGTGGACATTTATTGTTTAGTTTTTTAGCTACCCTGTATCATATGCGTAGGTCATAGGAACTTGAGTTGTAGGATGGTCGTGAATGATGATTTGTGATGATCTAGAAGTGGGCGTGGCTCATTTCCTAGTGACGTATTAATTTCCTCGAGAGTATGAGGAAAAACACAAAACCCTCAGGACAGTCGGCCTCAGGGCCATAAATCGAACCCAGGACCTTCAAAATAACTCAACTACAACATTCCGCTAGTTGACTGGGAAAGTACATTCTGCATGCTATCTAGTTGCTTGCGGCAGAGATTTCTATTTCAGACACGATTGTCATTATTGTATTTCAGTGGTTAAGAAGTAATATTTCCAGCCAAAGGACAAAATTGCTGAATCATCTAACATCTTCGACTCTGGTAGATAATATCTTCGTTAATAATGGATATCAGAATAAGGTAAACTACTACATTGGTTTGAAAGAGGTTTGTTTTGAGCCAACCGTATAAGCTGTATTTTGTGTGTCCCGCATACAGACAATGTGCATTTAATGACGGTGTTGTCAACGAAGCTATGACTTAAAAATGTAGAAGGGAATGTGCCAACTCCGCCCACTTTACTTAATGTTTTATGCGAGTATTCACTTATGGGCTTATCTCCTTGGGAAAGCCTGTATTTCCTCCGTCTTTCTGCCTGTTGAAAATTCCCACGTACAGTCCCAGCGAACACAGATTGATTTACTCGTATCTACTAACAAACTCCGTGATACCGACCGAGCAGCCGCCGCTTGTCAGCGAAGTTAGTGCCAACTTTAGCGGATAGAGGGTGTCGCGTGGTCAGCGCAACGAATCCCCACGGCCGTTAATTTAGGTTTTCTAGAGTGGAGCCGCTATTTCTTTGAAATAGCTCCTCAACTATCCTCACGAGGCTGAGTGTACCCCGTTCCAGACCCACTACTTCTCAGAAAATTTGGTAGCGCTGGGAATCTAACCCGGACCTCCGAATCTGTAGCCAGGAACCCTGACCACTATAGACCACAGAGGCGGTCACAAGGATAAAATTAATTTTTGGTGCCAATTTGATAGAAGAGCCTCAGGAGGGTTTTCCAACCAAAATTTCATATGTAATTTGCCTCTGACAAGTGGTTACAGTTGCAATGGTTCTCCTTATCCAACTTTTTGTGAAGTCTTAGTTTTCCCGACTGCACTGTTTTTCAGAAACATAGCACACTACCGAGGGACTATCATAAATGATTATGTGTTTAAATTTGGACTGTGGCAAGGGAAAGGCAAGACTGAAAACAAAATGGATGTATGAAGCTTCTCATAGCTTACATATGCAAATGGAACATAAACTAAGCACATGCCAGCAAGTAATAGGGCCAGGGACACAAATCTTTTGTTATGTTGTTCCCACACACATACACAGCAAACAATAACATGCCACATCATGACCTGCGCTGTGTCATGTCCCTCATACCACATGCATATCTACCTCTTGAATATTCTTAAGTAAAAACAAATAAATGTGAATGTGCACTGCAATTCTCCCAGTGCTTTCTCCGTGCAACACTTCAGGCTTTCACAGGGACAAATATTAAGACTGCAGTCTTGGAAATGATGCCATGCAGCTTGCTATCAACATTTTGGAGGAATCTTATGCCTCCATCTTCAAGGCAGAAAGGCCCGAAAATGAAGGTAATGAGTTCCTTCAAAACACTGGACCTACCACCAAACAACATGGCTTTTTCTACTGGGCTCAAAATAATAATTGACCTTGCTCTTTCTTTTGACTAGAGATGGAGACATTTTGGCTCAGAAGAATCGTCGTCTTCTTTATCCAGGCAATTATAATGTCTAAGGAGGAGGAAGAAAAATCCTGCGAATGTGTTGAACCAAGGCATATTAGCCCTGCAAACTCTAGCAATCAAGCCCCATTTGAAGGGATTGTGTTTTCGAGGCGACCGGTTGGAATCCTTCCGATCTTCGGAGATTTTACCCTGCCCCTCCACTAAAATTCCTCTCAATAGGCTGCGACATCTCCCAATTTCTCCTCACTCCCCTTTACTTAACCAGCTTTTGACTCTGGCTCGCTTACAAAGAGATTTACGAATAGTGCATATTTTTTTTATGTTTATCTGGCCGCATATAGCAATTTGAGCGCTGGTGAACGGATTGTCATGAAATATAAAATCCGGGGGTTTACTAAACTTTGTCAACAGAGTCAATTTACTGTTACATTTGGGAAACATTAACTAACAACACAAGAAGACTCACATGCTTTTAGAACTCATGTAGAGCGCAAATGTACCAATTTTTATAGGAACAAAAATGCTACAGACAAAGGTGAAGAAAATATTTTCACGTGTTCGGGGTTCCGTGACGAATTATACGGGTTCTAAATTTGATGATTGGATTTATGAACACTTCTTTTACAGTCACTCTTAGTCACAATCGATTATAGCGCTATTGCTAATCTACCCACTTCACAGATCACTAGGACATGCTCCATTCGTGTTCTTGTACTCTACTATACTCTTCTGTTCTTGTACTCTTCTATACTCTTCTGTTCTTGTACTCTTTTATACTCCCCTATACTCTCCTGTTCTTGTACTCTTCTATACTCTTCTGTTCTTGTACTCTCAACTCCTTCCAGCTTCAAGTCAAAGTCAAAGTCACATTGCAACTGACGGTCAGTCAGTAAGTCTTGGTGTCGAGCCCCATCTGGAGCTCATGACCAGATATTAATTATTACCGTTTGACAGATATGGTCTTATTTTTGTGGGCCACCCTCTCTGTCGAGAGGACGGCTCTGTTTTTTGCATATGCTGGCCCTTGCCAGCGCGGTCTTTCTCGGGTCCGAGTCCCTTGGGACTCGCGAACATAATTTACTGTCCCAGATTTGAGAATTCCTTTTTCGTCGCCTCCTACGACTCGCAGGGTCACGGTGGAGGTATTCGACCCCGCCTCCACACGGGGGCTTGATAACTTCGGAATTCGCTTCACTTATAACGGCTTTGTACGGACCCAACTGAAAACGCAGACTGTACTCTTGACGAAGTTTGTTTACAGCACCGTTGCTTAGCAATAGACTCCCTATTGTTGTCACGCTCCTAAATGGGAAGGCGTTTACCGGACCGTTGCCTAGCAATGGGTTCCTTATGGCTGCATGCACATGTGTTGCGGGAATGCGTTTACCAAGACGTTGCCTAACAACGGGTATACAAGTTACAATATGAAAAACTTTTCATGCCTATTATACTTTTTCTAATGTATTACCGTCTCGGATATAATTTAATAAAATGGACAAAACTCGCCAGAATTGTTGTAAGTTCAATTCATAACTTATGTTGCTGATAGCGTAAGTGGGCCGCTGAAATTTTACACAGAAACATTAATCAGCCTGTATTATTAATGCACATAATTTTAGAAAAGGTGTCGACGATTTCGAGTGGTTTTCTTGTCATGTGACGCAACAGTTAAAAGCTGCAGCTCAAGGAGACTCATTCTGAGTCACAAACTACAATACTATACGAGTAAAACAGCCTGACATTCCAGACTATGAATTACAGACATAAGTTTAGTGTTTTTGTATTTTATTGGGATTTTGTGGCTGTAAATACAAACAAGAAGGAAATTCTTCAGTTGAGTAATTTTATTTTTGACATATCTGAGAGAAAATACTGGCGACCACTGACTACAAAAATTATTATTATTAGAATCACTATTGCTATTGCCATTAGAACGTGGTAATCGTAGCATTAGTGTGAGATTGAGCTTTAGGTTGGGGCCACAAATTGGTCTATTATGAGATCATCTGAATATGGAGGTTTCGATATATGGATACAAGCTTCTGTGAAAGAAATAATCATCTAACTCTACGGGGCAAAATCATTCTAGAGAAGTTACTTGACAGTTCCCCAGTCAAGAAACCGTCCGTATTCTATGAAACCAATTATATTCATAATTGTGCACACATTAGCCTGCCAGTGGTCCCTATTCAGAGCTGAATAAATCCCGTAAACAGCCTTTAAACTAATTTCTTACTATGTGACCAATTAAGTAACTGAACGCAAAGATTAAGCTTAAAACCTAAAAACTTGGAATATGATAATATGCCGCCTGCCAGCTTTTCGGGTATTGCACATGGCGGCAACAGGTGAACATGTGTCACCTGTGAATGATCAGCATAACAAACGAAAGAAACTCGCAGAAGATCCTACCCCAGGGCCATATATCCACCACAAATCCCACGTAACCAGACCGGGGCTCTATCCCGGGCTTAAGAATTCAATTCAATTTATTTCAAATTCAAAAATAGATCCAGATACAGGCTGGGAAACAACCATTGGATATAGAATGAATCACAGATCAAAAGCAAATATTCCATTCCCACAGGAACAAGTCAAGGCATTCATAATACAAAACAAATAAAAAAAGAACATATCTGCCATTTATACAACAAAACTCCCCCGATATAGAACTCTCAAAGGTTTCAGGCGTCAGTACAAGCTCTTTTTTCATTTCATTACTCATCTATTATTTCCATAAAATCTAATACTTTAGGATGTGGAAAAGTCATATTAAATAAATAAGCAGTACAAAGAACTAAGTCAAGACATAAGAATAGAACCAGAATACAATTAATCTTACCGATTAGTATATACAAAAAAATTCATCCACAGTATAAAATGGGTGACAAGTCAAGGCATTCATAATATAAAACAAATAAGAGAAAGAAAATATCAGCTATATATACAACATGTAACAAGCACGAAAAGAAATTGTACGATTCTGAAAGTTACCTATGTATTAAGAAAAAGCACATTCGAAATTGTAGTCAGGCCGGTCACAGTGGCCCCACGGTCTAAGAAGTGAAAAGTTTTCACTAGCTCAAAAATTAGGATCGTGGACCGAATCCCACTTTAGGCATGGATGTTGTCTGAGTTTGTGTTGTCCCGTGTAGGTAGCGACCTTGCGACGGGCTGATCTCCCTTCCGAGGGGCCTTAAGACCTGTCTGATCGTTTCATAATTTCAGAATTAATTCTAAATGGTAACAAACCAGATAGCTTCGTAACTTGTACTCTTTTCCAAGTATAATTAGAATGATCAAGTCAAGGAAGATGAGGTGGTCGGGCTTGTAGTACGAATGGGGGAAGAAGGGGAATGCATATAGGATATTGGTGGGAATGCCAGAAAGAAAAAGACCACTAGGAAGACCAAGGTGTATGTGGGTGGACATTATTAAAATGGATCATATGGTATGGTATGGATTGGATTGATCTGGTTCAGGATAGGGACCAGTGGAGAGCTCTTGTGAACACGATAATGAACCTTCGGGTTCCATAAAATGCTGGGAAATTCTTAAGTAGCTGCAGATTTGGCGGCTCCTCAAGAAGGGCTCAGCTCCATAAGTAAGTAAGTAACAATCCAGAGAGCCTAACCTGTCAAGGTTGAAGAAGAAGGAGGAGAAGTAGTACTCAGCATGATAAGCAGCAGAATGCTATGCTCAGTTTCGTTGTCTCCCCCTTAGTTCTTCTGCCATGGAGCGATGGGCCGGACGTGTTGCCGTGGTGACGGGAGCCAGCTCTGGGATAGGCGCCGCCATTGTCCAAGAGCTGGTCAAGAAAGGGCTGAAGGTTGTCGGACTGGCCAGGAGAATAGATCGGCTGCAGGTACATTCAGTTTCTTATTCATGTATTCATACGAGTGTAAGCAAATCTTCGTTGTAATTTCAATTAAGTTCCCTTTACTCCTATGTTACCTTCATAACAGATTTTAAGATGACAGTAGTCTAGCGCAGGAGGTTAAAATTTGGCGCCTTTTTTATTTAATTCTAGGGCTCCATTCTGACACTTCTATTAAAGGTATAGACACAGACAGGGTGGCGTAAGGGCAACAAGGCTTAAATATGAATTCAGCCAATTTCATGGTATGATGGACCTAATGTACTGCAATACTAAACCGAATGCTGTTAAGCCACTTATATTTTAATGTCAACCATGCTTTCACGTAGATAACAAGCGGTACCCTGGTGATCGAGACATGATAATAAAATTGGTAACGGAGAAAATTCCACTAATGCCAGAAAGTAAATCTCATAAAAAAAATAATTTCCTTAAGTTGTAATAGGTTTATTGTGTTTTTATTATTCAGAAGAATGGAGCGTGGTCTACTGGGCTTTGGCACCGTGTAGTCATTTAAGCGGTTAGCATCCTTAGGGGAAATATTCTACCGTCATCTTCAAGCAAAAGTGAGCCAAACTGAGTATTTATTTATGGTCTATTTTGATGAAAATATATGTGTTCCCGATTATATAGAATTGGGCGGTACGATAATTAATAAATAACAATTTAAAAGAAAGTGGAAAGAAGCGGTCGTGGTTCATTTCAAAGTTCTGTCCTGACATTAGCTCGAAAAGAGTAAGAAATATCGTGGAAGTTCTTTCTGTTTTAAAATTCTCTGTTTGGGGTGAGACTGGATCCACTTGCTACACCGACATCTCGTGGGTTATTGTACAAGGCCTGGATGGCGGATGAATATGCAGCATTCGGTGGAATGAAAAACGGCAAGAAGAACCGAAGTACTCGAAGATAACCTACTACAGTATCAATTTGTCCACCACAAATTCCACCTGACATTACCTGAAATCGAAACCGGGCCGCCACGATGGGAAGCCGCGACTTATCGCCTGAGCTACGGCACGGCCTGTGAAAGCCCTTAGTTGGGATAATCGATTCCCGGCCGATATTCGAACCCAGGACCTCCGGAAATCGAGGCAGAAATTCTAAACCACTCGCACGCAAGCTTCGATTACAGTTTGTGGTTACAGAGGCGAGACTATCGATGTCAGTGCACCAGCGAGAAAGATGGCTGAGGCAGTAATGCTTCTGTATACTCGTATTTTACTCAAACCTGAATATTCAGCTAAAGTTTACTTTCTAAGGGAATGCTGGCTCTCTTAGTATATAAATAGAACATGGCTGTGAACGCCGAACCAGGAGTCAGGGCAGAGTTCATCTTTATCAGAGCTCAAGCGCATGTAAATATTGATAAGCCCACCTTCTCTACGAGATGGGAAACAGGAAGTGTGTGTCAGGCGACAGTTGCTACAATTTACCAGTGCCGTTGGAAGAAGTAGGAATTCTAGGGATCGTGAAGACGATGGTTCTTTGAGCTTCCCTTTCTCTTCCTACTGCGGTGTTCCCCTCCAGCCCTTCTGGACCATATCATGAAGTGCAACCTGCTTGTCTCTAGCCTCTAGTGAAGGTTATCGCTGCCTACAGTCGTGGAAATAAAATGGCTGGACTACTGAACAGAAATTCTGAGAGATATTCCTGCTGTTGGTAGGAGGGGGTGGGCGTAACCGTTCAAGGGAGATGTGGAGGTGATCGTTCTATAGGACTTTTTCTTTTCCGCCACCATGGTACAGAAAAAACTCGCAAGGTACATATTTACCAACGTCACGATTATTTAAGCCGATCACAATGGCTGTGCAGTCGAAGGCATGAACTATCTCCGCTCACTCGAACTCTGGGATCATGGATTCGAATCCCACTGAAGGCATTGATGTTTGTGTGTGCGTTTATTCTGTGTTTGTGTTGTTCTGTGTGCAGGTGGCCGCCTTGCGACAGCCCGATCACTAGTCCAAGGAGTCGTACCGACTGTGTAAAAAAGATTACAAAACTAAATAAGAGGCCAGGGCCCAGCAAAGGACTGTAGAGCCATTGATGAATGAATGACAATTATTTGCATAGCTTTTTATCGCCATCCGCAGACTTTCACAGACAGCGGCGCTTCACATAGACATGAGCTCACTAAGGTCAGGCTAATATTTGACAGTGACGTCAGACAATCCGACATATGCGTAAAAATAACGTAGCATTCAAGGCTACAGCTTTCCATATCTCCATTTACGCCGTTAGTCCGACTTGTATTTGTCACATCCGGAATCTTCATGTTGCAAATGGATCAGAATGCTTCTAGATGTGGAAAGTGCCTGTAATTACATAGTATATTAAATAGGCAGTTGCGTACAGTCGACAAGAGGTGGTCTTCCAGATCGGGTGTAAGGCAGGAATCTAACAATCCCTCGCCGGAATAAACGTGGTATATTAGAAAATGTTACAAATGACCTCAGCCCTCTGAGGAATTATAAATAAATCTTGAGCCAAAAATATTGAGGGTCTTTCAGAACAGGATGCTGGGGAGAATTTTTTGAGCAAAAGTGAACATTACTAAGAGACCTATATCACTAATAGATGCATCTAAACGCCTTTCCAACTGTGTTGGTCTGAACAGATTGGTCTAGAGGTGTATTGGGGAGGTTCTCCATTCGAATCTCGGGTGGGACAACAGTCGTCTTCGCTGATGTTTGTGTTGCTTTCTTGAATTCCTCCAGACAACCGTCGGGATAGTACTGAACTTGATTACGATCTCTTCCTTCCAAACCCTTTCCAACTAATCATTCGTCATGTCATCTGACTACATAGTTTCACACTGAAAAATTACTATTAAATAACTCAAGGAAAGATAACAAATCTAGAAGTTTGTTATTCTATGTGAAAATATCAAAAGTACTCAAGTACTTGCAGAAGAACATTTTTCTCTTATCTACAGAGTCCAGACCGACACTGGGATCCACCCACCCTCCTATCAAATGGATTTTTTTTGGGGGGGGGGGCTCTTTCCTAGGGATAAATTAGCGGGAGCGTGAAGCTGACCACTCAACTCCATCTAGTGTCGAAGTTAATAAATACGGAGCTTCTCCTCCACTCCCCCGTAAGTCTTTATGGCGTAGTGCTTAGCTAATTATGTCCATGGGCAACGTTATCTTTAGTTTACTTTGTAAGAAAGAAATACGCCGTCTTTCTTCAAGAAATCACCACAGTTTTAATCCGTTATTAGTCCGTATGTGTTAAAGGGAAGGGGGGGAGACTAGAATGAAAACTACGGTTAAAGTCTCCAGAACAAATCAAGAAAAAATGCGAACTTTTGCATCGTCTAGGCATACACAAAAAGTTACCTTCGCAAACCAGGGCCGTGACGGTGCACACCTGTAGGAAAACTTGGTGTCTTATTGCCACTGACTGAATTGTAGAGCCTTACAACGCGAACCTGTGCAGGGGTCGTCCTCCGAGCTACAAGGCCTGGCAGGGGAGCTCCACCCTATACAGTGCGACATCACCAAGGAGCAGGACATTCTGGCCGCCTTCTCATGGATCAAGAAGCACATTGGCGGAGTCGACGTCATGATTAACAATGCGGGAGTAGCGCATCAGTCTTTTCTTTCAGGTAAGATCTTGATTGTTTGTTAACACAACATTTGTTTCTGAACTTCTTGAGAGCTTAAAAGTAGCCACTGTAGTGCGACAGATCATGAGCCGTGTGGAGGCGGGTTCGAATACCTCCACCGTAGCCCTGCGAGTTGTAGGAAGCGACGAAAAAAAAACAGTGTCTTGGGATACAACTGGGACATCTTGTTCCTTGGGGATATGAATACGGGGACTTGGTCCTCCACGTTGGGGAGCCTCGAATTTTAGAGAGTAAAATTTGGTCATGAGTACCGAGAGACACGAACCCGTGAATAACTGCGCTGGCGAGGACCAGCATCATTTGTAAACGGCAGAACCATCCTCTCGTCAGAGAGCACGTTACATAAGGACTATGAAAGCAAGTACTCAGTTAAAAAACTCTGATTGTGAGTCTCAAGGGGCTTGGCACCACGACGAACTGATTGACGGTAAACCGCCAATCGTGAAGTAACTCAGACGCTGAACTGCTTAAGTTACACAGAGCCTAACAAGAGGATGATTGACATGAGTTGGGTGGGGGGATGTGAAAAGAAGATATCGTGCTATATGTCAGGCATTGCCTGTGTCTGAAGAAATGAAGAATGGATCATGAAATCTGACAAATATGGAGTCGAAGTGTTGATTTCAAGACCGCGTCATTCGGCCTTCTTAGGTACAGCGTCTGAGAACATATTAATACCTCATGTATAGCAACTCGGTGCATATGTCTATATTGCGCCACGTGTTTCGATCCGTGTGATCATCATCGGGTGGGTACAATAAGTATATAAGTCACTGAATTGCTGGACTAATAAGAATGTCAAAAGCACACCAAAAATGTAGAAATATAATAAATAGTTAATATGTAATTTAAGATATTCCATAATATGGACCCACATTCGTCCAGCAATTATATGTTTATTGTAACCACCTGATGATGATCACACCGACCGAAACATATAGCGACGTAGAAAATATTTATTTTATTTACTTAAAAAGTGTTGCGTTTACGCCACAATACACCCTTTTAATCGATACACAACACGACACAAACAATAAAGTTAAACGCGCGTTATCCCTGAACGTGCATTACATTATCGTATTCTAAGTCTTTACGAATCAGTCTGAAGTTTTACACGTCTCTCTCACTCGGCACTTAGCTGGTTACAGAGTAAGAAAATTGGCCTTATGTGTGCGAGAATAAAGAATTATGAGTCGTGAGATAGAAGATAGAGACCGTGGAAGTACTTGAAGTAATTGTCCCTGCCTTTTCAGAAAAGTGAGGAAATGCTCAAATTATTTTCTTTCAACGAGGTCTCCGCCCCCTTTGCTTCTCCTTTCGATAATCTTGAACGCTGTTCTCAGTTTTGAGGTCAGGTAACATCGAAAGGGTGGTATGAAGATGATTACGAATGATAGATTTGGGGCACGTAAGTTTTGATAAAGCTCTTCCGATGCTTAATTAAGTACCGCGCAATGGAGGGTTATAGCGGCCTCCGTAGTCTAGAGGTAACGTTCCCACCTCATGACTCGTAGTACGCGGGTTCAAATACCCGGTGGAGGTCGTCGAATTTTTAAGAGCGGAAAAATTCAGGGAACAAGTCCTCCGGGAGGGACTTTAAGCCGTGGGTCCCGTGTCGTAGCTTTACGGCACGTAAAAGAACATCATATCTCCAAAGGAGGTGACTGAG